ATAACTTAGTGGTGTTCATTGTTTTATTTTTTGACTATTTCTTAGTGTTAAAATTTTTATATTATTAGTAGGTAATTTTATTTTTTAAAAGACAAGCTAAAAACTTTAAAATGATTTGTAAGTAATTTTTACTAAAAGCTTTTTTTAGCAAACCATTTTTTCAATAATATATGTTGTTTTGGTAAAGCCCATTGACTTTTGCAGAATAATACTCTTAAATCTTACCATTAGCCTTTGATTTCCATTTAGGCTCAGTTCCTTTCTTCTAACGATTTTTGTGTGTAAAAATTGTTTGCCAACAGCACCACTATACAGCTCGCTCCAGACATGCTAAAATTTCAAATTATTTCAAGGTAAAAACAAAGTGTTTAAATAAACCAATCACATATTAATATTTCTCTTCATAATTCAAATAAAAAGTATTTCATTTGAAATTTTTTTGGAAATTATTACATGATTTTTCATTGCTGTTTAGTAGATTATCTTTCAAAAAATCAAACTACCGATTTTATAAAAACTCTAACACGAATATAGTCCAAAAATAAAAATACAAACAATACCCAATATTAATAAATTTTTTTGTAAAACTAATGTACGATGTTACATTTGCATCCCGTGACATCACTCCCTCCTTAGCAACCGGGATGAAGCCACCGTTTCAGGCTATGAACCGTGTCTACAAATCGTAGGCCATGACGATGTCTGTCAACAGCTTTTGAGAAATCTTATGTATAATGTCAGTCTGGAAATGTTTGTCAATTTATCTGCTTAATAATATGAATTAAATTGGAAGTGGTTGATCGGCCATTCGTAAAAACAAGTTGATTAGTAGAAATATTTAATGATAATCCATAACGGAAGAAAAATGGGATTACTAAATTGTGGATTTTTCATTCAGAAAAGAAAAGTGATTATTATGATGGCACGAATGCGGAACATTTTATTAAATGGGTCAGAACGCAGTTGGTGCTGAATTTAAAACAAAATATTTGGGAAAATGCCATTTACAACATAATGGCAGCCAGAAAAATAACTATTTTAAGTTTATTGGGTCTACTTCAAAATGGATTACTCCATATCTTTCATTTGAAAGAAGAAGGTTATATCTCAAAAAATCAGTTTTTTCAGGACAGAGGTTTTAAATTTGTCGTTATATTAATTTAGGTGTAATTTACAAGCGTTAAAATATTGGAATGTATTTTATAAAAAACTATGTTGGTTTAGGGCTCTATAACAAGTCTCAAAGAGAAATTTTTTTGAGAGTTTAGTTTTAGAAAAAAAAAATAGGATATAACCCTCTTGACTAAATAAAAAATAATAATAATACAGGTATTTTTTTTTATAGAGTTATATCATTTTAGATAATAATGAGTTGAAAAAATGAAATTGTTATAAAATTGTCGCTTTATTTTAACACAAACTATAACCTCTGAACTAAATGAATATTTCAGACTTTTAGACTTAACAATTATAATATTTATTGGTAAAAAAAATAGAAACAGATTTAAGCTAAGCATAGATATCCTTCAAATTTTTGTAAAAATTTTAGTAGTACATGGGTACAAATGGTTTGTTTTATTTCTACAAGGGAAACATATTTACACTAACTATAACTTCTAAACTAAATAAACATTGCAGTATTTTAATTAATAAATAACATATAAAAGCCAACTTAAGCTATGGATATCCTACAAATTTTTGTTAAAATTTAAGTAGTACATTGGTACACATCGTTTTTTTTATAAGCGATAGTAATCCTTTTTTCTTTGCATGAAATTCTTTTTGTTCAAAAGAAGTTTTAAAAAGAGAATAGTGGGATTATCGCGATTTGACATAATAGTATATTGTTTTATTAGGAGTAAAAGTATAACTTTTTGTGGCGAGTCTGAATGTTAGATGGCCGAACGTTAGTGAGGCCGACAATTTCAGACGAGCCACAAAAAGTGCTTTTGCTCCGAATGAAACATGCTATTTTTTCCGCAAACGGCATCCAGACTATAGAACTAATTAATATTTAAATAAAAATTCAAAACGATTGCAACGAAGTTGATAAATTCAGAGAATAATAATTATAAAACTGCGCACTACATTTCCGTGGTTACTGGTTTTGTGATTGCCAAGTCAAAAACAAATTTGACAGTTCAATAATATTTTATAATGTCAGAAATATTGTAAGTGATTTAAAGCAACAATTGGACTGTGCATTTTTGGTAAGTACTTGAGCATCAAAATTTCGTTTGTTGTAGTAAAGTGTACTGAAATTTTCTTTTAGATTATATTATGTCGGATTCAGAACCCAACTGTACACCGCCCGACGTTGTTGACATTGCTAAGGCAGCTACGAATGATTTAATTCCAACTAAGTCAAGTAGAGTTTATAATCATGCTTACGAAAGATTTCTCACATGGTGCAATGATAAAAACATTTCAAACTATTCGGAAAATGTGCTACTAGCTTTTTTGAAATGACAACTAAATTAAAAATGAAGAGTTCAAGAATGTGGTCTCAGTATTCCATGATAAAATCATTACTGAATATTAAACATGGATTAGATATTAGCAAATATATGAAACAACGTGCTTATCTGAAGAAGCAGAATGAAGGGTATACTCCCAAAAAGTCAAAGGTATTCACAAAAGACCAGTTTGAAGATTTTTTAAATAATGCACCTAATGAGCAATATCTAGGAATTAAGGTTAGTTATAATATTCTAACCTGCATAAATACAATCAAGTTTTTAAATACATACTACGTTTAGGTTGTTCTAATAATGGGCGTATCTGGAGCATGTAGATGCGATGAAATGGTGAACATGACAATAGACGATATAAAAGATTTAGGATCTTTTATTCATATAAAGATTCCTGATAGTAAATCTAAAAAGCCACGATCGTTCACAATTATTGGAGAAAAATATATAAATCTTTACAGAAAATATACTTCTTTACGTCCACAAGCTATGGAAAGCCGACGCTTTTTTTTGAAATTTCAAAAGGGAAAGTGTTATCGCATGGTCATGGGAATTCATACAATTAGTAACGTACCCAAAACAGTAGCAACTTATTTAAAACTACCGAATTCAAAAGATTACACCGGCCATGCGTTAAGAAAAACTTCAGCTACTTTGCTTGTGGATGGAGGAGCTGATATTACTTGTTTGAAACGGCATGGAGGTTGGAGGTCGAGCACTGTCGCTGAAGGATACATTGAAGACTCTTTGTCTAATAAAAAACAAACTGCAGAAAAAATCTTGATGTCGAATTCTTCTTCACTGTACCTGAATGCAGCTTCTCATGAGCGAAATTATGTCGACGTTGATGTAACAGAAGCAACAACAAGTAAGGAGTCACGAGAAATTTTGTCGATGAACTCTTTCAACTCTGCACAAAATTTGCTTAAATTGGAAGTGAATAAATCAGGTAGTGCATTAAATATGTGCGGTGCAACCTTAAATAACTGTAATTTTACTATTAATAATTATTATCGTTAATAAAGTTTAAAAGTTCAACTAATAATTATTTTCCCTGTTAAAAATTCTACTTTTTTGTACGGCCGTCAGCGTACAAAAAAGTACTTTTTTGTCCGCTCACGGCCGTACAAAAAAGTGGCGTCTGTGAAATCATACTTCAACATCATGAACTGACGTTAATAATGTCTACTTTTTTTGACGTTTGCGGAAAAATACTCTTATATCCGATAATTTAACATGTTTAGGGATATTAAGATAAATATCAGCACATAAAGCTTAAAGTTCAAAAATGTCATTAAAACTTATTTCTTTTACTTTATACGGAGTTCCAGTTTTCTTAGCTGCTCGAATTATACATCCGTATTGATCAGGCGAGTATATTAGACTTTTGTTTTTTTTTTATTTGTTTCTCAATCATGGAATGGACACTGTCTCCTTCACTTTGACCATGTCCAGTAACAAAAAAATTTTGAGTGACTGAATTTATAGGTATATTATACAAAGCATACAAGTAAAGAGCAATAATAAACCTGTTTTGCTCGGCACAATTATTATCAGAATAAAACACGATATTTAGATCCTCTTGATTTTCACACATAGTTTGAAGAAATCGAAAAATGTAGGACCCTATCTCATTCGACCCCCTCTGAGCTTCACCTTCATGCCATAAAAAGCACGTTTCTTCATGGCATTTAGTATCATAGAAATTAAAATTAAAAACGTTTAATTTTGAAACGTAATAAAATGATGATGCCTCTCCTGTCGGGCAAGGCAAAACTGCTTGCAAGTCGTAAACTATCACTCTTGTCTTATCATCACTATTCTCATCAAGTTCTTTTTCCAGTCTAGATAAATCTTTTTCTTTAACGTGTCTATCACATTTCTCTTTTATAGTTAATTTTTCTTCCTCTGTAGAAGATCTATACTGTAAGCATAATTCACACACATCTTTTTTCGGCAAATGAAAAGCTATATTCATTGAAAATCCTAAAGTACATAAGGTAGTTTCCAGACGGCACATTTTGGATTTTACACCATTCAAGGTAGTCCCTGTGTAAATCAGCTATAGTTTTACTTCCTTAAATATACTCCTTATTAGTGTGAGACCTGCAGTAATGATTTTCTATTCGTGAGATAAGGCTTATATGATATCTTATGGACTTTTTTATATCCGCACTTATTTTAGGGTGGTTTTAATTCCGACCTCGTTTGTCTTTTTTTAGAACTTTTCCGCTTTAGCACTGAGTTTGTTTTCTAAGAACCGTAGTAATAACTTTGTGATTAATTGCTAATGTTGCCATAAAGAAATGTTTACATACCCTTAGTTATTTTCCATCAACTATAAAGTGATAGGACTTGTTTGGTTTTCTAGATTCTTGTATATGTGAATATTTGTAACGCGGTGTAACAGGTTTTAGATTAGACGAAATAAATTCTTTGTTTTTCTATGTCTTTTAAACCCCAGTATTCACGAAATAACTTGGTTCTCTGTAGATCATTTAATACCTCTGGGTGGTAAAAGTATCTTTGCTAGACTAATTTGGATTTGGTTTTAGTACCATCTGTATTTTTCACGATACCTATAGACAAATAAGCTTCTCCAGTATTTCGCAAGCTCTTTCCATTAGCCTTTTGCCATGTAGAAGTATGTTTCAGTCTTTTCCGACCAATTTTTTCGTTGTTTAAATGGTATTTAACCTTCCTCTTCGCATCTCTAATATTTGTATGTATTTCAGCTAGCATTTCAGTTATTGGTATTTCGGGTGGATTATAAGGAGGATCTGCAACGCTGTCATCTGATCTATAAGGATCACTTTTAAGTTATCTGAACATGAATAACTGCTTGAACTACTATCTGAAGACGAATATTGCTTGAACTGCTATCTGAAGATAAAGTACTGTTTGAACTGGAACCTGAAGACGACTGTAACTGTTTAATGTTACTAAAGTATTTTCATCGACTTTTGATTGAGGTGCAACGTTTTCTGAATACAATAAATATTTAAGATTAAGTATTTTGTATTTTCAATTTCTGGTACCTTTTAAGCTTTCTTCTATAATCTTACTGACTTCAATACCATCAAGGCGTAATATGGAAACATTAGGAATGTATAGCCTCGAGCAGATTTTCATCCACTTTTTCTGGTTGGGCGGATTTTGATTCTTAAAAAAAAAGATAATTTAGGTTATTAACAACCGGTTAAAACTTCTACTTCCCGGCTTTATTAGCCGCCCTGAAATATTTACTTATAATTTCCGCCCTTACTTACCACATTGATTTATTACCCTCTAAGATTTGAACCGATTTTTTTCCTTAGTTGAAAGGAAAAATGGTTATAAATAAAATAGTAATTAGAATATAAACTTCGGTGGAAAGTTTCATTACTCTTGCCACCTCGGTGCGTATAATATTATTTGTCCACGACCACTTAATAATAAATCAATATTCTACCTCCTAACTAAGAGCATATAGTACCCATATATCACGGAGTGAATTATGATAATTCACGCTTTTGTAATTCTGGCACATTCCGATAGATAACTAAAGATAGGCGATACTTTTCATAACGATATTTTCTAGATCGAAAAATTGAAAAATCAAAAAATCAAAAAATCGAAAAAACGAGAAATCGAAAAATCGAAAAAAATTAGAAAAATCGAAAAATCGAAAAAAATTTGAAAAATCGAAAAAAAAATCGAAAAAAAAATCGAAAAAAAAATCGAAAAAAATCGAAAAAAAAAATCGAAAAAAAATCGAAAAAAAAATCGAAAAAAAATCGAAAAAAAATCGAAAAAAAATCGAAAAAAAATCGAAAAAAAAATCGAAAAAATCGAAAAAAATCGAAAAAAATAGAAAAAAATAGAAAAAATCGAAAAAAATCGAAAAAAAAAACGAAAAATCGAAAAAAAAAAAAAATCGAAAAATCGAAAAAAAAAACAAAAAAAAAATCGAAAAATCGAAAAAAAAAAAAAGAAAAAAAAAATCGTAAAATCGAAAAAATCGAAAAAATCGAAAAAAATCGAAAAATCGAAAAAAAAAAAATCGAAAAAAAAATCGAAAAAAAAATCGAAAAAAATCGAAAAAATCGGAAAAAAATCGAAAAATAAAAAAAAACCGAAAAATCGAAAAAAAATCGAAAAATAAAAAAAAATTGAAAAAAAAATAAAAAAAAATCGAAAAAAAATCGAAAAAAAAATCGAAAAAAAATCGAAAAAAAATCGAAAAAAAAAATCGAAAAAAAATCGAAAAAAAAAAAATCAAAAAAAAATCGAAAAAAAAATCGAAAAAAAATCGAAAAAAAATCGAAAAAAAATCGAAAAAAAATCGAAAAAAAAATCGAAAAAATCGAAAAAAATCGAAAAAAAAATAGAAAAAATCGAAAAAAATCGAAAAAAAAACGAAAAATCGAAAAATTGAAAAAAAAAACGAAAAAACAACAGTTAGTTACCTATGTTTAATAAAAACTTTCCATTCACACTTAACTTTAATTTAATAAAGAAACCATAATGGTCGTGGACAAAGTATAGTATTAGACTCGCAATTTAAGGCCATTATTCACTCGGGTGACTTGCGCCCCTCACATACGGCTCGGGACGCAAACGTCACCCTGCGTGAATAATGGCTACCATAAATTGCTTGTTTAATAATATACTATTTTCTACGATCACTATCCAAAGTAGGTATTTGCGCTAAGAAATACAACTGCAAAGTTGACGTTTTCCGCGAACTGACATTAATCGACAGATTTGCACGGCTAATTTAAATTAGAAATAAAATATTTTTTTTTAATAAATGATTTGTAAATTATTTGTACGTAGTTTGGTGTTTTTTGTATTATTATTCAAGTAAACATTAACTTTGAATATCATTTTTTTATTATTATTAACGTAGGTACATACTACATAGTATTTTTTAAAATAATGTGATCGTAGAAAAATCTTGTGTGCATTTTGAGTGAATAGTAAGAAAAAAGTGGAAATCGGCAACTCTTTATATCTCTCTCTTTTCATACAAATAGCTATTTATCATTCTTTCCTACCCAATAATTCGTTTTCGTTTTCAATATTTTCGAGTATACCATGAATTTCGGTGGTATCAACAGAGTCGCTTAAGTTCATTTTATGTGATTGAACTGCTTCATCGTCACTAATAGAATCATTATCGATTTGTCCCAGAGTTGTATGACATAATTTTTGATTTTGAGTTCTAATAACATAAAGGAGTAATTAAAATTAATTAAATAAAAATTATTTAAAAACAAGTTATAATATAAATATAACAAAATTATTTTGGAGAATAGAGTTACATCACAAACTAAATAATACGAAAAAAAAAAACTTATTGAATGAATATTTAAAATACATTATTTTAAATACTGTTACAAATAAAAATATCACTTTATTTTAAAACACACACAACAATTTTCAATTAAACCATTTAAGAAAAAAGTTTATATTTTAACTTATAACTGTATTGATTAAAAATAAATCTTTAAAAATTAACTTACCTATAAAGAAAGTTTTATCGTGAAATATCACTCTTTTATAAAAAAATATTCCTTTTTTGAGATAATATGTAACCTTGTTCATAAAAACTGGCAAACTTCACTACTACAACGTGAGTTACAAACTGAAATATAATTGTTTTTACCTGAACCGAATTGAACAATTGCAGAAAGCCAGACAATTACATCTGCCATTTCTCAGCAAACGGCCGAACTATATAATGTAACCTTTTACCAGATAAAAGTAGATTTTTTTTTTGAATTATTACCGCAATAAAATAAAAAATTAAAAATTTTGAGATGTAACCTTCTTCTTCCAAATGAACGATATGTTGACGACTGTGACGTCGCATTTTTGTTTAACGAAAAAAAAATAGAAATGGTTTTTGAATGTGTAGTACTCCTTTTTTATAACGTAAAATCAAACAAATAATAAATCTGAATTCGTAATTAAAAAATATAAAAATAATAATAGACCTCAGAATAATAATTGTGTTTAGTTTATATTTTATTTAGTTTTTTCATCTCTCTATAATCTTAGGTTGTGTTTTCTTTCGATGTTCAAGACAAGTGTCGAGGTAAAAGAGTGAAATGATTCTTTACGCTTGACAGAAAACATATATCATGGGAGGGGAATGTGTTGGGATTACCGTACGAGCTGTAGTGGTTTTACTGCAGGCTTTTTTTTAATAGAAAAAGAGATGAAGTTTTTTCTTTGAGGATGTTTTATTGATATTTTTATTACAGTCTTGTTTACTACATAGTTAAGCTTTTTCAACGACTTTTCAAAAACAAATATTTCTTTTATATTATTAATACTTTATCTAAATAATATTAAATTATTTTATATTATTTGGACATTATTTTATAAAATAAAATTAAAATAGAGCCTTGTTATTAACGAGGTCATTATTTTGAAGCAAATAATGCTCTACTTGCTGATATTTTTTTATCTTTAACAGTCCCTTGTAACGCGATCTCTAATTATTCTATATACTTGTTTAATGTGTTTGAGCTGAATTGATAGGGCGTGGGTTAGGTTATTAAATAACTCGAATAACTTTGAAAAAGAAGTTGGGCACCACTATATTTAAAGCTAACTAAACTTGAATGTCGATTAGTGATAAAAATATAGAAAATCACTAACCACTAACAAATAATATTTAAACCATGCTTTAGATAAGGTAGCTATCAAATTATAATTCACATCAGTTTTATTAAATTCAAATTTAAGATCATTTTTTTAAATAAACACTTATCTTTTGGTAAATGAATGTAATGTACCGAATGTAAAACTGGGTTATCGCATGGTATATCTTCAGGCAACTTCCACAAAGGGATTCTGGATCCTTATTCGTAATTCTGCAACGTAAATAATCTCGTGATATTTGATATTCTAACTTAAACTCGAAACTGTCTAGATTTAGTCTAATCAAACAACGGTCTTCAGATTGTACGAAAACCAAAACGTCTAGATATAAGTCCATAAAATGTCTAGAGATAAATCAAACAACAGTCTTCAGATTGAACCAAAATCAAAACAAACTTCTAGGTATAAAAACCGTCGAGACGTCGCCATGCTAAAAAAGGGTTAAAATATTAAGACAAGAAAATAGGAAATTTGAACAGGATCTAGATAAAATGCTTTAACTATTAAATAAACAATTTAAAACTATTAAATGAATAATTTCACAGAGACTAAAATTAATATGAAAAGGAAAAATCTTATTTAATACATTTAAACATAGTAAAGCATAATATCTTATCAAAAAAAAATAATATATAAATTAACCATGTGTTATCCAGTGTTGGTATTGAATTTATGTTCAAAATTTGACAATTTATTTAAGAAATCCTTGTACAAAATATATATTTTCAACAAAATATCATTATTAAAACTTACCTTAGAAAATCAGACGGATTTCACAATAGATAAAAATCATTTAGTATATCGGATGACCAAGATGATTTAAAATAATTGTGATCTATTTGAATATCTTCAAATGAAATGAAATAAAATATGAACTTTTGACACAAAGCACAAACGACAAATGACATTTGAGTAAGAGGTGATTGTGTTGAAATAACGAATAACAATTCCAACCGTTAAAACCTGAGATATTATTATACTTTATAAGTAATTAATCACTATTTCTATAACGTTTTAGCAATGCTGCAAGAAAATTAGCTCACGAAATTTTAGTTAAACCCCAAATACTTTTTTTATGGAATGAAAATCCTCATGGACCCCAGGTGCTTGGACCAATCGAGCCTGGGAGTGTGGGACTCCGGCTTTTGGGTGCAGTGCCAGCCTACCCACTAAAACCTCTCATCTTTAACCTCAGAATTGTCTTTTTTGGGACATTCTTCGGAATACTAAGTGATCCACAAAATTTATTAAGCCGCTTATGTCCTTTACTATTGTGTTTGTCTTAATCGTTCCTTTTCTTCCTTCTTGTGCATTTTTTCGTTTGCCATCTTTCGGATAGCCTTAGATGTGTCTCCATAATCATGGCCTCCCCCAGGTTGTTCTCATTTAAGACTGCTCCTTTAGTTAGTACACTTAACCCTTTGCCTTTCTATCACCCAGTGGTTGCAATGGTATCAATTTCCTCGCGGTACATGCACACATCTGTAGTTTTCTTGCCAATTTTTTTCGTATATGACATGAAATAGTCGTGTGCTTTCAAACATTGTGTTATATATGATAGTCCAGGTGTCTATGCTAACATTTATACAAACTTATCACATCTCCAAATGTGGCCTTTGTCCACTGAGCTTATTCTGTAGTATACCGCTATTCGTTCTACCACCTTGTACACTTTATCTTTCGGATACCTGCAGATGAACTGGTTCGTACCTTTGATGAACTTTATTGCCTTTAATGAAGTAGTTTGACTCTCAACGGGTTCTTTTTCATCCTTTTCCGGTATGTTGCCACATTCATTTCTTGTCCCTATATGGGTGATCTATGCAGTAATATAGAGTGTACAACTCTGCTCAGCAGCTCCCGTTTTCTACTTTGAGGGCTTCCGATATTTATCAATATCCTTAAGCGAGATGCTGCTCTTGACTCTATTTTGTTTGCCTATATCGTCTAGCTATGACAAACCACAGGTACTTTACCTCTTTCTCAGGCACCAATTAAATTCCTTTTAAGGAGAATTGTGACTTCTCCACATACTTTGATTACTATACGAGGCAAGAGAGAGGTCCGACACGCCTAACATAGGGCGCGGCCATTTTAAACCCTGTGACACAGTTTACAGCTAAAGAATCAGATTGCTCACTCTGCGTCGGCACTTTGGATCTTAATGTTTCAGTTTATACACTGTGCAACTCGGATAATACAATATTTGACAACCGCCTATAATAAAACAGCAGTCTTCTACGTATCCTGAATTTGTATCCCTGGAGTGGATGTTATTTTGGAACTTTCAACTGGTCCGAGTGAGCTAACTGATTCTTTAGCAATAAACTGTGACTTCAAAAATAATATTCACTGACACTGACAGCAGCAAGCAAAATATCAGGTGCGTTTTAATCATCCATTTCGAAATTAGGTTAAGAAGCAAAATCGGCCTGAAGTTTTGGAACAAACCATAAAGGAAGCTGTCTCGAATGTTCTTCATAATACTATGTCGAATCGTATTGCTGCATGCACGTTTGGTATCAAAAAATCTACTACATGACAGAGTTATGAAGGCTAAGGTTAAAAATGCGAATAATTCTGACTCTGGTAATGATAGCCACGAGGATCCGTTAGAGATTCCGCACTTATCAAAATATGTTACGCGGCAAGTATTTTCATTAAAGGATACAAATGAACTAGAAATGTATCTCAAACAGTCATCACAAATTTTATACTGTTTTACATATCATGCATCCCACAAATTGGCATATGAATATGCATTTAAATTAGAAAAAACTTTTCCTGCTCAGTGGAACACAAACCAGATGGCTGGCCTCAAGTGGCTGAAATCTTTTATTAAACGTCATCCAAAATTTTCATTGAGGAAACCCGAAAACACCAGTGTAGCACGGGCTTCTGCTTTCAATAAACACAATGTTGAATAATTTTTTAAGAACTATTCTGACGTTCAAGCTAAATACGCGTTTGGTCCCAATGGAATTTGGAACACAGATGAGACTGGTATATCTACTGTATTGCAGGCGCCTAGAATATTTGCCGAAACTGGCAAGAAAGTTGCGAGTCAATGTGTTTCAGGAGAAAGAGGCACACTGGTTACATTTTGTGGTATTATTTCAGCTACAGGTAGCAGAATTCCTCCAATGTACATATTTCCCCGCATTCGAATAAAAAAATACTTCCTAAATGGCTCTGTAACTGGAGCTGTAGGGTATGGATCAAAATCTGGATGGATGACGACTACATTATTTGTTAAATTATTAGAACACATAAGAAACCATACGCAAAGCAGTCCTGAAAATCCTATACTTTTGATAATGGATAACCATGAGACACATGTGTCGGTAGAAGCAATTAATTATTCCCGCGATAATGGTATAGTGCTTTTATCCTTCCCACCACACTGTACGCATAAGATGCAGCCGCTGGACAAAGCAGTCTATAGTCTCTTTAAGCAAAAATGTAAAGTCAGATATAACGATTACATCTTATCTAACCCAGGGACACTAATAAAAATTTATAATATTGCTAAATTGACGTCAGAGCCCTACCTACAAAGTTTTATACCCAAAAATATTATAAATGGCTGTTCAAACACCGGACTATGGCCAGTCAATAGACTATTTTTTTCAGATGATGACTATTTTGGAACATACGCGACAGACAGGCCATATCCAGAACTACAAGTAAATAATGATATCAAGAAATCGGAAGTTGATACTACTATTGACTCTAGTATTATATCTAAATCAAACGACCAGGAGGCAATTTACGCTGATATATCCACATCTAACCATGATAAGACTCAAATAAATCTACCGTCTATCTCGGCGAATTTTAAATGAGGTAGCCAAGCCATCCATCAATATTATTTAAATGAATGTTCTAAAGTCATTATATATTAAACCATTTTCGAAGGCACCACCTCGAAAAACTAATAGGAAATCTCGTTTTGTAAAATCAAGAATCTACACAAGCACACCAGAGAAATGTGGCATTGAAGAATCAAAGTAATGAGGAGATCATAGTAGGCCAAGTCTGACACGAAAAAAGATAGTAATAGATAGTTCGATCAAACAAGATTTCCAAAATAAAAAACCAATGACAAAACAAAATATCCAACAAAAAAAAATAATAAAAATACTAGGAAGACAATGAAAAGAGGAAGGCAAAGTGACTCGTCTTCATCAGATTCCGAGCCTGATTTGGTTGAATAAACAAAAAAGAAATATAAATTTCTCAAAACTGCATCATCTGAATCAGATATTGACATGGAGTCTGATTACGATAAAATGGATAAGCTTTTAGGTAAAAAATACTTTTCTACTTTTTTGGATTTCTGATGTCTCAATTTTTGTTTTTGCAGATGATGAGAAGATATCATGTGATGATTGTCTTGGTGAGATTCTTACTAAGAAAACGGTTGTTTATTATGTCGGGCAAGTAATACAGCTTACAGAGTATGGCGAATTTGTTGTAAAATATTTGAGACATTTGCACAATCGTTTCCATTTCCCTGATGTTGACGACATCTTCACTATTGCAAGATCCGACATTGAGGCAAAACTCTCCAGGCCAACTTCTGTTACTGACTATACTTGCCTGGCAAGTTTTCTAAATTTAGCGTAAATTTTGGTTCTCTAAATTTAAAATAAATACGTATGCATTTTTATTTACTCTGTTAGTTCTAAAACTTTCTTCTGACGTGAAAACTATTGTTTTGTTTTAGTTCTATGATGTTTCTCAGAATATATTTTGTTGTTTTTTTTAGTATAGTAGGTACCAAAGTTCCTCAAAGTTTAAGATATGTGGGTACCTTAACTTTGTTAGAAGTTATTTATAATTTAATTATATTTTTCAAAGAAATTCCTGTTATTATTGTATATGTCTGAAGCTACCCAATGCTCGTCCAGAACTGCCATACCATGGGGCACCTTAAGACAAATGCAACTTTTTTTTGTAACCCTTTTCAACAAAAAACTTTGAACGATAATGCAAACATAATTATGGTAACAGGGAGAAAACAAAATAGGCAAGATATCTTTGTTATTAGAAGTTTTGTTTTTGCCCAAATAAAGCTACAAATTAACTCAAGCCAAAACCGTCCGAACCTGCCCCCCTCTACCCTACTGCAACTTAATGTTCTCTATTAGGTACAGTTTAACCACTTCTAAACTCAATATCATACACATTAAACATGGAAAGTTCGTAACTTTTTACACGACCAGTGATATTCTACTCAGTTGTGAAGTATTTGGAGACTCGTTACAAGTATAATCTAAAGTGTATGAATTAAATTTAATGTTATCCACTGGAGAATCGGAGAATCAGTACTTGTCTTTTTTACTTTTCTATCTGTATACAGAAATAAGGAAAGTATAGGAATCATGATTTTTTTCGACCTCGAGTTTTCGACGAATTTTTACGTTTTGAGGTCCACTGAATCCGTTTTGACTATTTTCGCGATGATGTCTGTCAGTGTGTGTGTCTATGTTTCTGTGTGTGTGTCTGTATCCACCATAACTCATGAACCGATACACAGAAAAACACTAAATTTTAAACTGAAGCTTTATTCCATCGTCCTATGAACTGATTAGTTTTTGGGCAGAGTCGGAACATCTGGGAGGTACTTTATAAATGGTCATTTTTATATTTTATGAAATGTATCTGTTATTTACGTTTGGAGAAGAAAATTCTTTAAATAAAAGTTACTTGTAATAATATTATCTATAATTTTTGTTTTTTAAAAAAATTTCCTAAAATGGACCGTATTCGAAATATTTGAGAAAATGTGTAAATTTCGAATTTTAAAGAAAACTCAAAAACGAATAGAGGAAAAAACATTAAATTTTAAACTTAAGTTTTCTTTCGGCCTGAGATTTTAGACGAAGGCGGAACATCTGGGGGGGTAATTTATGGGAGGCCGTTTTTATATTTTATGAAATATTTCTGTTATTTACATTTGGGGAAGAAAATTTTTTATATAAAAGTTACTTCTAATATTATTTTGTATAATTTTTATTCTGTGCAAAATTTCCTGAAATGGTGCGTATTTGAGAAATTTTACAAAATGTAAAAAATTATGATTTTCAAGAAAATTGTTGAATTAAAAGATGTTTGCCATTTCGATCTCTAAAATGTTTGTTTTTTTTTGACATAATTTCTCTAAAATGGACCATATTGGAAAAATTGGAGGAAAATTATAAAATTTAAATTTTTCAGAATTTTCGAGTTAGATGTATGTGGATATGTATATATTAAGTTAACCTCTAAATATTTACAGAGGTACAATATCTTGTACAAAATAACCGAAAAAAGCCCGTAATAACAAGATAGGAAAGTCATGTGTTGGACACATTAGATTTTTTTTAATATTAAACCAATACGTGCATACAATTAGCAATTATTTTATATCTTGCGTATCTTTGTGAATTGTATCTTCTTTATTATAACGTACTGTAAATATTTAACGTAAAACAGTCAATAACACATTTTTTATTTATAAGTAAAGACGAAGTGTTTTCGTAAATCTGTAACGAGCAATGGAGTTCCATCGTAAATATTTTAGATCTGTGATTTATTATGACTAAAATAAGAAGTTAAAATCAGTAGAATCAGTTACTTCTAGAAAGTTTCGCAGTAGATAACTATTCAGATTATCGCATCATCAGAGACCTATAAAGGACAAAATTTACTTTAGGTATAAATTTATGACAGAAAGGGTTTCAAGTAAAAATAAGTGGATTTATTAAGTTTACAAATTACCATAAGACCATTAAAATTTCAACTTAGTTTTTTTGATGGGA